TATGAATTACCAGTTGAACGAAGATGACCTAAAAAATTCTAAACAACCCAATATCAATCAATGAAATTGAAAATGTAATTTAAAACTTACCAACTAAGAACAGCCCAGGCCCTGATGGCTTCACTGATGAATTCCACGACACATTGAGAGAGGAACTACTACCACTCCTGTTTAAACTCTTCAGTGAATTTGAAAGGGATGCAATACTCCCAAATTCATTCCTGGAAGCAAGCATCACCTTGAACCCCAGAGCAGAGAAAGAACCAACCAAAAAAGAGAACTACAGGCCAATCTCACTGATGAACATAGATGCAAAAATCCTTAATAAGATACTGGCAGATAGAATGCAGAAGATCCTCAAGAAGATTGTACATCCTGACCAAGTGGGATTCACCCCAGGGATACAGGGATGCTTTGACATACCAAAATCAACAAATGTAATGCACTATATTAAGAGAGCCAAGGGCAAAACATACGATCATCTCAATAGATGCAGAAAGAGTTTGACTAAATCCAACACATATTCATGATTAAAAAACTACGAAAATTTTGAATAGACAGTCTCTGCCTCAATCTGATAAATTCCATCTATGAAAAACCAAAAACCAATATCATACTAAATGGTAAAACTGAAATCTTTCACACTAAAATCAGGAACAAGACAAGGATGTCCACTTTCACCACTCTTGTTCAATACAGTTTTGGAAATATTAGCCACAGCAATTACACAGACAAAGAAATAAAAGGAATAAAGGTAGGAAATGAAGAAGTCAAACTGTCATTATTTACAGATGACATAATACTCTATTTAGAAGACTCCAAGAACTCCATCAGAAGTCTTCTAGACTTAATACCCAAATTCATCAAAGTATCTGGATACAAGGTCAACACACAAAAATCAATAGCTTTCCTGTATACAAAAAACAGACTCACTGAAAGAGAAGTGGGACAAACAAGCCGTTTCACAATAGCATCCAAAAAACTGAAACACCTAGGAATCAACCTAATGAAGGACATCAAAGACCTCTACTCTGAAAAATATAGCAGTCTGAAAAAAGACATTGATGATGATATCAGAAAATGGAAAGACCTCCCTTGCTACTGAGCAAGAACCAACATAGTGAAAATGGCCATGATTCCAAAACTGCTATATAGGTTTAATGCAATCCCATATTCCAGTAGCATATTTTATGGACCTTGATAAAACAGTCCAAAAATCATTTGGAACAAGAAGAGACCTAGAACAGCAAAAATAATTATAGGAAACAAAGACAAAGTGGGGGATATGACAATCCTCAACTTGAAATTACAAAAAAAAAGCTACTGTGATAAAAACAACATGGTACTGGCAAAGAAACAGACCTGAGGTCCAGCAGAACAGATTAGAAGATTCAGAAATAATTTCAGACACCCTCAGCCATCTCATCTTTGAAAACGGAGCCAAACACTCTCATTGGAGGAAAGATATCCTCTTTAATAAATGGTGCTGGAAAAGCTGGGCTTCAATTATTCAAAGATTAAAACTAGACATATATCTTTTACTATGCACTAACTAAATTCAAAATTGATTAAAGGTCTAAATATTAAAACAGAAAAACTAAACTGGCTGGAAGATACGTTAGACAGAACTCTTGCAGACATTGGCATAGAAAATTATACGAACAAGGGCTGGAGATTTAGCTCAGTGGTTTGGTGGCCTGCCTTGCAAGGGCAAGGACCCGAGTTCAATCCCCGGTACCAAAAA